CAACCTGGTTGATTCTATGATAATCCAGGATTGTAGGTAACTATAGCAGTTTCTACTCCTTGTTTGGATGCACCCCTAACCCTCCCGTCTGCTTCTGTCAATGCTCCCTACCCCCACACCCCCATGCCCATAACACCAGGCTGAATGCATCTCACCCTGCTTTACTACATCTGCCTGCAGAGGAGTTGCTGCTAGTTAGTGGCACTCCTAGGCTATGTCTGGGCAGTGTGAAATTTGTGTATGAATGCTAAAACATAAAAGTGTCTTATTCCCCACTCAGCTGCATGTTATAGCAATGTAAAGTTTCTGTATACTTTATATATAACCCTTATGAGGACTACATTGCAAATACATATATCAGTCTGTATTTGAATGTATTGTGAGTTTAGTGCTTATTTTAAAAGACTCAAAATGTTTCTGATGCTAAAAGTGAGACTCCACAGAGTACATAACTAACTTGAGTCACTCCAGTAAGTTTTGCATCATGCTTCCAAAAATGGAGCCAATAGCTTTACTTGGAGAAAGCATTTTGAAGTGGCTTTGACTGAGAAGTTTGCAAGTTGCAAAGAGAAATATGTGCTGGTATTAAGTCTGCAAACAGTACTATAAGACAGGTACCAGTAAACTTGGTTATAGCTGTGTGCTCAGTGCACTTTGAAGCATTGACACAAAGATTGCTTCAGGTGCCAACTGAGTTACTCTAGAATCTGTATTATCTGTTATGAGGTTTGGCAATAGCTCTCTGACAAACAGTGGAGCCCTAGCATGTTTCATATACAGGGAATAGAAAGTTGGTTTCTGGTGAGTTGTGTATTTCTGAGTGAATAGTTCCTAAAGTATAGGCTGAGGCAAAGATATGTCAAGTCATTCAGTGTAATCCTCAGTTACTGTTTTCTTGGGAAGCCTGTTGTGCATGCAGTGCAAAGAAGCCTCCAAGGTTTTTTATTATATTTGCAGATGATTAAAACTACCAATTTTCATTTAGGAACAATTAGTGAGATGGTTTGCCTAATTCTTGAATGGCAATCAAAGTATTTCATATCCTACAGATGTGAACTTCTAATGTGAAGAAGACATGCTATATAGACCACTCAAAAATCCATCACTGACTTTACTCATAACTTCCACAAGTGCTGTAGAAAAACATGCAGAGTAAACAGCAGCTGCATTTTAAAGCAAAAAATAGCTGTCAGGGTTCTTCTCCAGTTTGCTGTCAAATATGACTGATGTAAATGACAGATAATGGGAACGCCTTATTGTAGAAGTAGTTTGTTTGTTTTGTGCAACTCTTAACCTGCTCTTCCAGAGGTGATGATTTACAGAGTCCTGTTAAAGTTTTTCTCCCTTTTATAGTAGAGCTAATGTTAGCCCAGCAAAAGCACACATCTGTATGATGAGAAATGTAGTAGTGAACCACACAGGGACCTTAATGCCTGGATTTAAAAGTGCCTTAACGTGCAGTTGATTATTTAAATCACTCTGTCCCTGAGGCAATGCACTGAAATCTGAAGAGTCAGTGTTAATACTGTGTTTTAAGACTTTGTAGTTCTTCCTTTATGGCTCTGGAAGTGGAAAGGGATAGAACTACTACTCGGTGTGACTGAATGCAGCTCCTTTGCCTTCTCCTTCTGACAGATGCCGATTGGGCATGACAATTATCTGGCTCTGGGTGGGGAGAAAGGAGGGACTTTCCTCAAGAGTGAAATGGAAAAGAGCCATTTTGCACTTGCAGTGCCTATCTGCATGTGTTGGCTGTCCCTGTTTAGTGTGGGGCTACCGTACAATGAGGCAGGAAGGTTGACTGGCTGCAGCAGGTTTGTGTGTGTGCACACTTGCGAGTCTTACTGTCTTTGGCCCAACAAATCACTTGGATCTAGTGCCCTAAATAACTGTTAGTTTGCAATGAAAGGGAAGACACAGTCATTCTCTGCTCTGCCCCATCCTCCTTTATAAAACAAAGTAGTAAAGACTACCATGGTCCCTAACTCCTTTGAAAGCCTCCAAATGATTTTCCACTAGAGAGCATGGATGGGCACTTGGCTGTTGCTAACTTTAAAAAAAACCCAAAGAAACAAACCACCACCACCAAAAAACCCCAAAACAACCCAAACATTGTGAAGGATAGATTCTTTTTTTTTCCTGTTGTTAAAATGCTCCATGAGCAAAATTATTTGCAAGAACAGGATTTCTGACCACAGCATAAGGTTCTGAACTACAAGTGAGTGATGTATGCTAAAATTGGCAAAACTAATGACTTGTGGAAGGTATCTGCATTGATTGCATCTTGCAAGGCCAGAGTGGGCTTAAAATACCCTGAAGAGATTCAGCCTGTTACTGAAGTCCAGGGAGGAAGGTTCAGATGAATGTAAAGATGTTTGTGTTCCAGCTGTGGAGTGTGCCTACTGATGGAACTAAGCTGCCATCTTTGTATTTAGGCATCAAAACAGCTTTTGTCAGGAAACAGAGTGACACAGCATTCATAGCAGCTCACTGTGAAATGATCCCTATTGAGTGGGTGTGCAGAAGAATTGCCACTGGCTCCTTCCTCAAGAGAAACCCTGGTGTCAAAGAAGGATACAAGTTTTACCCACCCAAAATTGAGATGTTTTACAAGGTAAGTTTCCTTTCCTGTGGTGTTAATTACACTCAAAGCAGAGCTAGAAGTCTGTACTATCTTCTTGAAAATGCTGACAGATAAAGCTACTGTTTGACCAATCCTCTCAGTATTAGTAGTTTTTACCATCCTATTGTTCTGCATTCTTGTCCAAGAGATGTCTTATCTAAAGTGCCAACAATACTGACATAAAGGGCCATCAAAGAATAATAAGCCAAACTGTACATAAAAATAGAAAAATGTTGGTATAAGGACTTTTTAGGCATAAGCTTAATGCACCAGTTGAAACTCAAATATATCAGTTGTTGTATTTGAAGAACTTAAAATAAACAGTACTTGCATGGTGAGGGTAAGTAGCTAGTGAGTCCCTTAGGATTCTGAACTTCTTTGGGAATGTGTGCTGAAAGAAGTGTCTGGTGAGCTGTGACCTAAAGTGTTCTTTGTGGTGTACCCTATCGCTCTTGAAGATGCTCAGGTGTTACAGCAAGTGTTTTCAATGTTACTGTCACTTTTTAGTGCTAATCATAAAACACTAGTTTGACGCCTGCATTTGGTTTTTGAAAAACAAACACAAAACCTTGTATCATTTAGTAGTTACTTTCCTTTTAGAGCGAGCTTAAATTACATGATGTATTTATTCTGTTTTCCTTAACAGGATGATGCCAATAATGATCCACAGTGGTCTGAGGAGCAAATAATTGAAGCAAAATTCTGTTTTGCTGGACTTAGTATCGGCCAGACTGAAGTGGATATTATGTCTCGTTCTACTCAAGCTATTTTTGAGATCCTGGAAAAAGCATGGCAGCCCCAAAACTGTACTCTGGTAGACCTGAAGGTATAAGAATCTGATTTCTCATGATCCTGATTCTGACAGGAAACACATCACCATATAGTTACTAAAATAGGATTCTTACTGTCTTTTTAGATTGAGTTTGGTGTTAATACGCTGACAAAAGAAATTGTTCTTGCTGATGTTATTGATAATGATTCATGGAGACTGTGGCCAGCAGGAGACAGAAGCCAGCAGAAGGACAAACAGGTAGCATTTTCATCTCTACCTTGTAAGTCATCAGGGAATGAGAATGAAAAAAGTAAACCCTACAGTTTATTATCTGCTTTCAGAGGGGTGTTTTCTGGGTAGTCTTATGTAGTAGTTCAAATGACACATAATGTCCAAGCCTGCTCTCATTAAATAATTTGTCCGGTTCATGGTAGGAAAACCCCCCTCTGTTTGTATCTCTTCATTTGGAATACCCAGCAGCACTATTGACTGGAGCTGTTGTAATGAAGTGTGAAGCTCCCAGGGATGATAAGAATTTCTGACATGTTATGCAGATAATAATCAAATAGTTGGATCACAGATTGGTGGGCAGAATAGATGCTTTGGTTCACAGGTCTGCCTCCAAGTTTCTCTGTTTATTCAGAGTAGTGTCCTACTAGTGGAGATCTGGAGATACCTAAGAAGGAACTGCAGGGAGGATTCTTCATTATTTATTTTGGTTAAGCATGAATTCAATATGATTCTCTAAAAGTGTTACTAATAAACTGTGTCCACATATGAGGGCTGCAAACATAAATTTCAAACAAAACTCATTCTATATATAAACTTGTAGCATTTTCACTTCTCAAATCTCTCTGATTTACCAGGTAAGTAGTTAAGAAAGAACTGGTTTGGGAATGCTGCTACCACAGAGCTGCTGTCTTGGTGGCTGGGGCTAGTAACAGAGACCCTGTGAGAGAAGGTGGCTGTAAGGCTCAGGGGAGGATTTCAAAGTGTGGATGGGAGGAAAGGTATTGATTTTAAAATTGAGAAGTAGAACTGCTCTATTGTTCAGTTTACCTAAATTACCTAGTAGCATGCTTGAGTGAATTGCTCTGAGAGTGCTCATCGCCCTAGAATAAGGTGCATGATAACATCGTGTAGGACCTGTAGGCTGGTACAGTGCAGGCAATCACATCACTGCAAATCCAGTTGTAAAGAAGTTGTATGTCTTTCCTTGAATTTACCCTTTGATAAGCTTCCAAAACCTTGAAAGTTGGCCATGAGTTGTAATGTAGAAGGTTGTTTACACCTACTGAGATAGTTCTTCGTTAAATATATCCAATATATTTATATATTTCAGTATTTTCCCTATCCAGTCTCTCCCATATCTGTACCAATTTCTGGTCTGCTTCACATGGAATGGCTAGAAACTGAATAAATATTTCACTTGAGGTATAATAATAATCCTTATCAATCATGATAGCTAAATGAGTGCTTTGTGTACCCAAACCACAGTAACTTCAGTATTTTTATTTTCAGTCATTTTATTTTTTTTATTTTTCAGTCCTATCGGGACCTGAAAGAAGTTACTCCTGAAGCATTGCAAATGGTTAAGAGAAACTTCGAGTGGGTTTCAGAGAGAGTGGAGGTACTCATTTTTATGAACAACAGACCTAGACTTTGAAAACTGC